ACGTCGGGGTTCAGCTGCTTTAAAACCACTCTTTAAGTGTTGTGCATGTAAGCCACGCTCTAGCTGCTTCGACCCCCAAGGTGCCATTGGGGATAAAGCTCTGCTTCTTTTACTGCACTTGAGCCCAAGGGGGCACGCTGCCTGCACTTAGCTGTGTGGGATTTAGGCCTCATGTCTAGGCAAGTGCAAAGACACGGGGGCAGTATTGTAACCAGGTTGTTACAATACTGGTGAGGATGTCCATACCAACCGGGGATGCTGCTGTGCCGCTCTGAGTCTGGTCCTTATGATGAGAATGGCGAGATGGAGTCTGTTGTTACCAGTCTCATAGACCATAAGCTTTCTAACGTGTCAAAGTAGCAACCCATACTCCACTTCTGAGTGCCTGCCTTTTAACTGATTAATGAGCAGTTGGTGGGCGGGGGGGACGCTGACTCCACCCTTCTCTTTAGATCATGTTCCACTCCTATGGAGACAAGCAAGGGCCACTGCACGGGATGCTGATCAACACACCGTACGTCACGAAGGACCTGCTTCAGTCCAAGAGATTCCAGGCACAGTCTCTGGGCACGACCTACGTGTACGACTTCCCCGAAATGTTCAGGCAGGTCAGTCGTGCTAAGAAGTTTGATGCATTTCCATGATCTGTTTTCTCCTTCTATGTCTGTCCATTTGGGGCAAAAAATAACTCTCCTCGCTACTCTTTATTGGCCTGGAGAACGCTTTCTCATAGGCAAGATGTTTTCTAAGGCACAAATCAGCAGAGCCCTGCTGAAGCAGCACCAGGTGTGAGGAGCTCAATAAGGAAGTCCCAGCATGAAGAGAAACACAGCAAAGTCAAGCTGGCAGTAGTTCAGGTCCCTTTACTTAAATGACTACAAGGCTGCCACATGGATGCACATTTGCCAAGCAGCAACACATGCTTTTGGCTCCATCAGTTTTGTTTGTGTTAATGGCCTTGACTCTGGTCCCTCCACAGGCTCTCTTCAAGCTCTGGGGCTGTACCGAGAGCTGTTCCAAAGACGTCCTCACCTACACTGAGTTAGTGCTGGATTCCCAGGGGCAGCTGGTGCAGATGAACAGACTCCCTGGTGGAAATAAGGTAGGAGCGAGATCAACAGAGAAAAAAAGACAGGAGAGGTTGAGGGGCTGAACTGGAAGAGGGAGCAGCGTGGGAAGAGCTGAAGAGAACAGCGCAGAGAAGAGGAGAGAGCGGAGGCAGAGAAGGAAGCGGACGCTGAAGGCAGCGCAGGAAAGGACTGTGCGATGGGGAGGAAGGAGGAGGGAGTGGAGCCAGTACTTTGAACAGTGGAAGAAAGAGGTGTAAAGTACTGTAATACCCATTGACTGTCATGCAGAAAACCAACTAAATATGGTACCCAATGAAGAATGTGCAACTGTTTCTTCCTTTTAAGTAGAAGACAGTAGATTTTCACCTTATAGACTAACCAAAGTAGAGATCTCTCTGTCTCCTTTGGTTCATCTGTAAGGTGCAAATCTACCCTGCCTGCCATTTGACTTCAGACTAATACAGCTAACTACATCTCTCTTCCTTTTAACTCAGGACTGTGGCAACTCAGGGGCTTTTCCCCCTGATTTAGTCATTAGAGTAGGAGTCATCGAGTACATTCCTCAAGCTCAGTCCTTGTCAGTGTTGGGTGGTTTGACTGATGCTTTGGGCTGGAGGTTGTCTTCTCGCCTAGCAAGACACTGCGTGTGGGGTTCACTGCATGTTGTGTCCCGGAGACATGAACTACAAACGATGGTTGCCAGCTTAGACAGGGGTGCTTTCATTGTGAATCTTTGGCAGCCATGACTCCGATTAAGGATGTGTTTCTACACCCAAAATATCCCTGATTCCCAGATGTTCTTGCCAGTTGCAAGAAGCCTCAAGTGGAACAAAAACTTGGCCTGTGTTGCATTTTTAAAGCATGATGAATGCAGCTGGGGTGTAGGGGTGTAGGGTGAGCCATTAATTGACCTTCGAAGAGCCAGAGAGGAGCCTCCTGCCATGGTCCACCCCCTCCACAGCTGCCTGTTGTTTTGGGCAGGTGGGGATGGTGGCTTTCAAAATGAAGCTGAAAACCCCCGAGTATCCGAACGGCCGGGACATCATTGTCATAAGCAATGACATCACGCACAAGATTGGCTCCTTTGGAGTCAAGGAGGACCTCCTCTTCCTGAGAGCGTCGGAGCTGGCCCGTGCAGAGGGCATCCCCCGTGTCTACATTGCGGCGAACAGCGGGGCACGGATGGGGCTCGCCGAGGAGCTAAAGTACATATTCCAGGTGGCGTGGGTGGACCCTGCCGACCCCAACAAGGTGCGTACGTTTGTCCTGCTGTGGTCAGAGGGAAAATGACCTCTGTGACAGACATCATTTAGGAATCAAAAGGGTAAATTAATGAGGAAATAGCTCCTGTGAGGTTAAATGGGCCTGCATAGCCACGGTGTTGCACGGTAAGCACACAGATAGGGCTGTATCCACTTCTCTCTTTGCTTGTGAGAAGACCCCTGTTCCTCTGCATGCCCAGAGACCCCTCTGCTCCTGTGTGGTGTCTGGTCCTCCTATAACCAGGTGGGGAAAATGGAAGATAGAAACCAAAATGCATCTTTGGAAGCAAGCAACAGGGTTGAGCTTGAAGTCAGGTTTTTAAAGGGGGTTTAGGCATGTGCCTGCCTTTGAAATCATGGGAAATTAGGTGCCTGGATATCTCTCTAAAATGTGACCTTTAGCCCTTCTTCTGTCTGAGGGCTCAGACATTACTGCAGTCAGAAATTACAATGGGTGGGATTTTCAGATGTTGAAATGGCCAAGGGAACCCTGGCCCCACTTCTCCAATATAATTTAGGGGTTTCAACCTCATTGAAAGGTCACGGGACACTGAGTTTGTGTTGTGAACCCTGGGACTGAGACCTCTCAAGTCATTTCAGTGCTTGCAGCTTAAAGGCTCCCCACGTAGTCCCAGAGCCTCTCACTGAGCATCTGCACGTGCTCTGTCATATTGGAGATCCGTATGCTACTCAGCAGGTCCCAAACTCTGACGGATTGTGCACCACCAATTTAAAACGATACAACCTTAAGTGCCACCAGCAAATGTTTGTCATATAAAGTAATTATAGTAAGTCTGTTAATGTGTGCCACTGACAGGTTGTCTGCGTACCACTGGTGGTACCCGTACCACAGATTGGGAACCGCTGTGCACTCTTGAGCACCTCTGTGTAAGGTGGTAGCAAATGCTAGTGTGGTGAAATTTTGCGTGTGTAGCTCACACACAGGTAAAACTAATGCCGTGTCCTCCTTTAACATCAGTTGGCAAAGTAAGTGTCCAGTTTTAGGACAGTTAATTAGAATTTTAAACTACCAATCTGTAAAAGCATAACTTGTGCTCCGAGCTCCCCAGACTTGTACCATAACAGACTCCAGGTTTTGGGGGGTAGCAAGCTGCCTGTGCGAAAGACTGAGCTAATTCTCTCCCTCTCTCTTTGAAGGGGTTCAAGTACCTGTACCTGACCCCGCAGGACTACACGAGGATCAGCTCCATGAACTCAGTGCACTGTGAGCATGTGGAGGAAGGAGGCGAGTCCAGGTGAATAAAAAGAAACTCAAGGCACTGTCTTATCCTGGTTTGGAGTTAAGGAAAACTGGCTCTTTGTGTGGTGCAGAGGTTCGTGGGGCTGATGTTTCTCTGTAACAGAAGTCAGCCAACACATAAGCAGGTTATGAAGAGATGGGGAGCAATTAAAGATTGTGTCTGCTGGGGGAAGGGCAAGAACAAGTTGGCTTAATAGGCAAGAAAGGAGCTGCGGGTTGTAAGTTAGGAACATTTCCCAGATGCTGAGGCTTGTGAAGCGTCGGGCGGGTGTGACAAACTTTCACTGGTGGCTCAGGAGCGTGGTCTAGGCAGGCACCTGATGGGAGCAGTCTAGCTACATTTAGATCATCGAGGGCTGCACTAAATGATCTCTGGAGGGCACTCTCAGCCTGACCTTTCTGCGAATCTGGCATGTGGGTATCAGCGCCAGGAGGAAGGACAATGCTCCAAATGGATGTTCCCCTGCAGGGGCGGGTGTCAGTCCTGCTAGCTGGTTTCTCCATCCCGGGATTTCTTGTTAGAGACCAACCACTTGCAAAATGTCCGCATTTGTGTAGGAGCCGCTTGTCACGGTTGCTAGCTCCCTTTAAAATACCTTTCAGAGCGCCCTGCCATCAAGCGCTCTGCTGCTCACGGGGACTCAGTGGACATCCTGTAGACCAACACCACCCATAATGTTCTTTAATAAAGAAAACGGGGGTGCCAACCTAGTTGTGAGGGCTCCTGTAGCTGATTGCAGTTTCCAACAGGCAGAGCTGTCGCCCCTCAGTTATCAGGAGTGTACTGACCCACCAGAAATGGAGCTGGGGTGGGGGGTTAGGGTAATGGCTAGGAGGTGCCTGTTGGTACATCTGCACTGTCTCCCAGTGGGCTTGGGCGTTCATCTGACCCAACTGTACGTGTGCAGCGGACAGCTCATAGCAGGTACCAGCACATGCCTCAGCACTGCTGTGTCTTGGGAGAGCCCCCGCCTGGTGGTAGGCCTTGCATTTGTAGCCCCTCCAAACCGTCTACTCCACAAGTGTGTGGAGCCAGTGGACAGGGCTCATTTCTTGGCCTGCTCAAGCACCCATGCATTCAGCTCTCTGGCTTGCCCCAGCTCGGTGGCTGAGAGCTGCTGAGGTTTCTGTCCCACAAAGCTCTTGGGAGTTCAGGGAAGAGGCTCCAAACAGGACTGGATCCATATGGCAGCTCCCACAAACCCACACCTCTTGGGGGTGGAGGGAAGTAAGGCACAAAAAGGAGAAGTAGGAATCCAGTGTGGCAGAGCCAGGATTCAAACTCGGGTCTGCAGGGCTCAGCCCAGTACCTTCCTTGCATTAAATTGGGAAAACTACCGTCATCTTTGATCTTACTTGCTCTACAGTGTCCCTCCTGGTTTCCCACAGGTACGTCCTCACAGATATCATTGGCAAAGAGGAAGGATTGGGTGTGGAGAACCTGCGAGCTGCTGGCACCATTGCTGGGGAGACCTCTCGTGCATACGATGAAATTGTGACCATTAGCATGGTAGGGCTTTCGCTGTCTTCTACTCACTGTTTTGTCCTGTGAGCCTTTCACCTTGTTTCCTGTCTAGGATGCACAGCCCCTCTGATGCTTGCTTTCCAAGCCATATTTGGGAGCTCAGCAAGGTGACTCCTACTCGGTCAAGGAAAATGGAGAAAAATACAGGATGTGGAGTCTTCTTGACCTGACTTAAGCATCGATATTCAGAAGTTCTCAGAGTTGCAAACTGCTTAGAACTGGCTTTTTAAACTAGAAGCCCAGCAGTTTGCTTCAACACATGCACTATTCAATGGAAGAAAAACAGAATAGTCTGCTATAAATTGGCAGCTAGGAAGATACAACATCAGAAAGGACAGATGTCTTTCAGTCGCTTAGACTGTGATACTGTGAGCATGTAGATGAAAAGGACTAAGTGCAGTTTCTAATTTATCTTTCCACCTCGGTGACGGGAAAATGCAGAGTGCTGTTGACTGTCGTTCACAATTGCATCGCTCTGCGTCAGTAATTCTTCAATTCTGTGTCTATTAGGTGACCTGTCGTGCCATAGGAATTGGTGCTTATTTGACGAGGCTGGGCCAGCGAGTCATACAGGTGGAGAATTCCTACATCATTCTCACTGGGACCAAGGCTTTGAATAAGGTAATGATAATCTAATTATACCCATTACTTGACTTATCCCCTAGAAACCGTCTTCCCTGGTGCTGAGTCGTTGTGCTGCTTTGCAGCCCCAGAAAGGTTTGTCCTCTTCCCACCTCCAGAGCTTTTAGGTTTTTTAACTGGACACATAACACTTCTCTCACACAATTTCCACTGTGGTCCAGAAATGGCAATTTTTAAACTGAATGAATTATTCATAGCATTTGTGCAAAGAAGAAACCAGTAGGAAAATTAACGTAAAGATATCTCTTTGAATGAGAGCATTATAATTCGTTACCTAGTAGTGACTGCCAGCTCCGAAAGAGCTGGGCCAACGTGAACCCACACACCATGGGGTCTTTGCGACAGAGGTTGAGAGACATGAGAGGTGTTCTGGCTGGGAGCAGAACATGTTCCCAGTCCCTAACTCTAGTCCAAAGACCTGCATATTTTGTGGGCTGTTTTGCCAGCCCGGTTTAACTTCAGGTGTGATTTTAAACTCATGTAGCTGAACCAATCCAAAAAAGCAGTAGTGGACACACTTACTGTGTGGATTTTTTTAAAAATGAGGATCCTCGCTTCAGTTTAGCCTCAGTCAGTTTAGAGCAGGTTCAAATTAAATGCAAGAAAGTCCCTTGGCCTCTGTTAGGGAGGGAAGCCAGTTTACAATGCACAGAGGTGTGTACCGGTCTAACTGAACAGATGTAAGGCACTTTAGAGAAAAGACCTACAGTTTAGGAAAGGGTGATAAACTTTGTCTCTGGATGATTTCAACCAGGTCCTGGGGCGTGAAGTCTACACATCCAATAACCAGCTGGGAGGCGTGCACATCATGCATAATAACGGTGTTTCCCATGTCACTGTCCCGGATGACTTCGAGGGGGTCTATACTGTCTTACAGTGGCTTTCATACATGCCAAAGGTAGGTAGCTACAACAGGACGGCAGTGGAGTGGCTACTGTGCTTGATCATCACCGGTATGACTCCCTGGGCCCTCAGAAATCACACCAAGTAGCACTTCAGCACTGTTACGGGTACTGATGTGCCTCGGGGAGCTGCCGCCTTGCAGGCTTTTTTGCCCCTCTATAATAAACTAGCCCTAAATGGGGGTGGTAATGTGCAGAGCCATGACTGGTAGACTTGTGCAGTGGTCCCACCTACCTTTAGTCATGTTAAATATTATCAGTGCAAGTAGTGACTCTCCAGGAAATGGGTCAGGGTTAGGGATCTATCTGTAACAGCCTGCACAGCTCTGGAGTGGGGTGGGGAGGGAACGGAGAGCTCCTCCACTAGGACAGGCCGTGGTGTTAAGTTCAAGCAGGATTAGCGATCTTTTTTCTTATAGGACAATCACAGCCCAGTGCCTGCTACTGCCATAAGTGACCCCATAGAAAGAGAGATTGATTTTGTCCCTACCAAAGCCCCCTACGACCCCAGATGGATGCTGGCCGGAAGACCCCATCCAAGTAAGTAAGGGTTTTCTCACTCCAGCACCCTCCTGTCCTCTGTGTGTGTGCTGCCATAACATCCTCCGTCCATTATGGTGGGGTTTTATTGCTGTTTGGCACAAGGGGCCATGAACTGCTGGGCAGAACGGCCTGACTGGCGTTCTCTGATTTGGCAGCGGTCAAGGGGACCTGGCAGAGCGGCTTCTTTGATCACGGCTCATTCACGGAGATCATGAAGCCCTGGGCACAGACTGTCGTCATTGGCAGAGCAAGGTACCAGCCTGGCACAGCTTCTCCCTAGACCCGTGCACTCGCTGAGAGCCGTGTCCTGGTGGAATCGGCCTGGCTCCAACCTCTAGGGTTGTTGATGTGTGAGGCAAGCTGGGATCGATTGCCAAGTTACCCACATGCAGGACAGCTGGCATGCAGCCAGGCAGCACTGGCGATGGCAGGGATCTGCTGGGGCCCTGCCTGTGGCTGAAGGCCTCCTGGGAGCAGGTTCAAGGGTACCTGTGGAGTGACTTTCCTACACCACGGGGAGAGGCGGGAAGGGCTGAGCCGGCACAAGCGAAAGCTCCTCTCTGCTCCAGCACCTGCCCTGACTGCTGGTCTCTGCAGGCTGGGAGGGATTCCCGTCGGTGTGATTGCTGTGGAGACCCGGAGCGTAGAGCTTACGATACCCGCTGACCCGGCCAACCTGGACTCCGAAGTAAAGGTACGTGAGGAAATCATCATGAGCCTCTGCGCTGTTGCTGGGGCCGTGCTCTGTAGGGAAGGAAATCCGAGTCATCCGGCCACTTCGCACGGGACTTGCGAGGTTACCAGAGCCATCAGCCGTCTCACTAGTATCTGACTTCCCAGAGCCGTGAGGTGCAACCAGCACCCTCCTGCCCACTCTCTTTCAGATAGTCCAGCAAGCCGGGCAAGTCTGGTTCTCGGATTCCTCCTTCAAAACCACCCAGGCTATGAAAGACTTCAACCGAGAGCACCTCCCCCTCCTGATCTTTGCAAACTGGCGGGGGTTCGCTGGTGGCATGAAAGGTGATTCCCGCTCAGGTCAGAGGTCTGTGGACAGGAGAAATAGCAGATCAGCCATGCGGGACCCTTTGCAAGATGGCCAGGCCCTCTGGAATCCATGTCCCGTGAGGGGATGCTGATGGCGTGGTGCGCCACCAAGAAATTCCCCTGCAGTGTGGAGGGAAGTGATTTCAACTGCTGGTGGGGGGGTGGTCTTTTTGGACCCGCCTTTTCCCTGCAGAGGCAGCTGCCGTTGCCTCTGAGGGAGGGAAGCACCATGGGTCACTTTAGGTAAAAGTCTGTCAGCTTTAACCACTGGCTGCGAAGGACATGCCATTGGTTTGCTGCAAGGTGGGGCCTGCCAGAGGTGGGATCCGAGATCTGGGGTGAGGAGTGGTGACCTGGCACTGCTCTTGGGTACGTGTGTCCCAAGCCACGGTCAGCCCCGCAGCCCCACAGAGAGGGATGCATTGCCAGGAAGGGCTCACTGCAGCAGTGCATTGGTTTTGCAGACATGTACGATCAAATACTGAAGTTTGGGGCTCACATTGTCGACTGCATCAGGCAGTTCAAGCAGCCTGTCCTTATCTACGTCCCCCCACACGGTGAGCTGAGAGGAGGGTCTTGGGGGGTGCTCGACCCGACTATCAACCCTCTGTACGTGGAGCTTTATGTCGACAAGGAGAGCAGGTGAGCAGTGCTTCTCCTTTTCCCCTTGGTTTCCTGTCACCTGTTCTGGCATTTTCCTTATGAGTTCCAAGTCAGCCTTCGGCTGAACCTGGTAGCCCTGCCTTGCCTGGCCTTGCAAGGGTTGAGAGAGGTGATGGACCCAACATGTGGCCTCCCATCCCACATAGCGTGCATGTATCCTTCATAGCAGATGCCTCAATCTGAGAACGATGAGCTCTTCTTGGGTAAATCCTTCCCAGCAAACCATGGGGAACAGGGAAGGAATAGGCTAAATTCGACTAAACTGCAGAAGTTCCAGCTTTGTACTTCCAAGTGGGAACTGCTATTAGAAATGACGGCCAAGAACCAATTGTTATTAATAAAAAAAAAAAATTGAGCAAACCTTAGTTGGTGTCATTTTAAAACTCTATAACAGGTGACCTGCCTAGATGGGGAGGCATGTTATGACTGGCAATAAAACAAGTACGTGGTCCCTACTCTGAAGAGCTCTTTGATTCACTCGCTAGGTCTTGTAACACTCTGAGACTTACTCTTTTAATTGTTGTGAGTCAGCCCAAGCCACAAGCTGACAGCTAAAAATTATAGGATGCTAACACCATCTTACTGGATATTCTGTGAAGGCTCCCGGGATGAACAACCTAAATGATTTTTAATTATTATATTTTTATTATCCCCTTTTATCTTGGGTAAAAAAATCATGGGCCTGAGAGGCAAGTAGCAAAACATACTTGAAAGAAAACCTCTGCAGAAATCCCACAGGTTTTTGAAGGGAAAGTCTGGTAGTTTTCCTGTGTCCCTGCTCTTCCTCAGAAGAAACAAATTATTTCAAAAAAAATATTGTGAATCTGGGAAGATTTCCCATGACTTGTTTTTTCCTATGAAAATCTCCCCACCAGACTAACCATGACCTTTCCAAAACCACCTTGTACTTAGGGGAGGCATTTTAGAAGCTGAGGGAACTGTGGAAATCAAGTACCGAAGGAAAGATTTGGTGAAGACCATGAGAAGACTTGATGCAGTTTACGGCAGACTTGTTGAACAGTTGGGTAAGGAAAGAGTTTCTTCCTTTTCGCTTGTCCTCCGATTGATGTTGCTTTGCTTAAAGCATGAGACAAGCGCTCTCAAAAAAAAAAAGATAAGTAAATGATATCTGTGCCGGACTTTCAAGCCACTCCTGCGTAGCCTGAGATGTGCTGTTATCTTGCTCCCTAGTTTGCAGCGAATTGAACCCAGCTTCTGACTAATAAGTGCCTTTTTTGTTTCCTGGGATATTCAGGGACCCCTGCGCTCTCTGAACCAGAGCGCAAGGAGCTGGAGAAGCAGCTGAGAGCCCGGGAGGAGCTGCTCTTGCCCATCTACCACCAGGTGGCGGTGCACTTTGCCGACCTTCACGACACGCCGGGGAAGATGCAAGAAAGAGGCGTTATCACAGTTAAGCAACCAGGCTTTGCTCTCGGGTCTTGTTTTGCTGTCACCAGTGAAGCCCAGGTGTTTGGCTTTCTGAAACCATGCTCAAGGCCAGCAGGAAACCCTTATCATGTCCTGGCAAGGGTGGGCAGGAGCCTTGGAGAGCTGTGACCTGAAAGCGTTGCTCTCTGAAGCCACCATCTCCACACCCAGCACCCAGCCACCATCCCCACACCCAGCACCCAGCCACCATCCCCACACCCAGTCAGGATGATTGCATTGTGGCACCCAGCTCAAAGCCTGGGTTATATTCCTGGGCAGCGTGGAAGGGAATTTAACTGGTCATCTGTGCTGGAGATGCTGCTGGCTTTCCTTAGTGTTTAAAAGGCAGGGGCGCCGCAGTCGGTAGGGGCAGTCATGGGGGGGAGGGAGGGAGGGAGTCTTTGGACACGACCATGAGAAGTAAATGTCGCCTCCAATCTTGCATCCCCACCATTAATCGGAGAACACTTTATAGTGGAAGGTCAGCTGTTCCCTCCTCTCACCCCTCCACAGAGCCTGAATGTTGAGCTCTTTCCCTTTGCCCCACCAGGATATCCTGGAATGGAAGAATTCCCGCTCGTTCTTATACTGGCGTCTGCGGCGCCTGCTGCTGGAGGAGGTAGTGAAAGCAGAGATCCTGGAGGCGAACAGTGAGCTCAGCCACATCCACATCCAGTCCATGCTGCGCCGGTGGTTCATCGAGATGGAAGGGGCGGCGAAGGTATCTCTCTGTCTTGGCTGGTCAAGATGCTTCTGCTGCTGGCTTGTCCTCCGCTGCCTCAGCACGTGTGGCAGCCCCCAGTGTCACACATCCCATGCGCTTGCGTTCACGCTTTGGCTCGGCTTGAATGTGTGGCTGGAGCTGTCGTCCTGGAACTTGGGACATTTGTGCCCCGTTGAGCACCGAGGGGCAGGGACAAGGGAGTGGGCGTGGAAGCTGGGACTCTGTCTCTTCAAATCAGGGGACTCAAATTGGACGCGAGAGATCAAACGTAAACAGAACAGACCAAAAGAAAAAAAAAAAGAAGTATGTCGTATTGTTAATCGCTTTAGAGTGAGGCAGGGTCTCGCGCTGGAGAGAGATGGGATTTCACGCCTCTGCTTTCAAGCAACATGGCAGCTGGTGTTGGTCTTAGAATTTAGGTTTTTCGGGCTTTAGAGAAATTTTTAAGAGGTTGCCAAGCGCAATATGAAGTGTATGTGCAAACTGGCCATCTTGGCAAGTGTTTCTTTACCCAGTAAGATGCCAGAACCACCGCTCAGGGAGATAGAAGTAGGGGGCATTTAAATGAAGACAGAGTCCCCCAAAAAGGAAACAATGTGAATTTAAAACTGTATCTTACCAGATCAACTTGAGCACTTGATGAAATTCTAGGTAGAAAGACGAGCTATTCCGAGTCAAGCGATGCAATTGATACAGCTTTGCTAAGACTTACTCCTGAACCTGAACTCCCTTTGCCTGTCACCAGTGCTGTCGTGATGGCAGCAAATGGGTTGCTTGACCCCAGGCTGAGCGCCAGCATAAAGTGGACTTTATGGAGTTGAGGGGAGGAGTCTACCAGTGTGCCGCTGGAGTCTCTGTTTAGCTCCAGTTTTACTTCGCATCATCTTTAGTTACTGAGCAGGGGGAATGAAGAGCAGGTCTGTGGAAGTAGTTGAGCTGGAAGAATTTAGGAATAGCAGAGTAGATCGAGTAGTCCAGAGTGAGCCAAAAAGAGGAGGTGGTTGGAATAGAAACTAAGTATTGACTTGAAAAACTGCAGGCAAGCACATCTGGGCGTGGAGAGAATAAGCCCAGAGTCTCTGCCATTTATTAGCCCCCAAAACCTGAATAATTAGCTAGCACCAAAGAAGCTGGAGTGCTGGGGAGAGGCAGGCAGAGAGGGAGAGGGTTACAAGGAGAACTTGCAAAGGGAGCAAGAAGGGAAGTAGGTCAGATGGCTTTGTAGGATGGCTTCTCTCTTGGACGTGCATGCACCCACACGAGTGTGCTGAGCTACTCCTGGTACTTCTTGTAGGGCTATCTCTGGGACAACAACCAGGTGGTGGTAGAATGGCTGGAGAAGCAGTTGCAGGAAGAGGACGGCATCCGATCAGCCATTCGGGAAAACATCAAGTACTTGAAACGCGATTATGCCCTCAAACATGTCCAGAGGTGAGTGGAGGGGGGCCCCACTTGTCCCTGCCAACAGTAGATGGGAGGTGTGTGAATAAAAGCAACAAAATTAACCTGCTTCTGATGGGTATAAACAGCCAGGATAGCCTCACTTGGAGTATGGCATGTGGCAGGGACTCCGGCAGTTTTGGCTCTTAGCTTGTAATATGCTGAACCATAACACCGCCCTCCTTTTCCCTCTCTGGTCTGCCCTGCAGTGTGGTGCAAGTGAACCCCGAGATCGCCATGGACTGCATCATTCACATGACCCAGCACATCACCCAAGCTCAGCAGGCCCAGCTCGCTCAGCTCTTTTCCACAATAGAGAACCCCAACTCCCCCTGACCAAGGAGCCTGTCGGGGAGAGGAAGTGTGCAACGATAAGCTGCTCCTTCAGGACCAGATACTGTCTTCAGCCCTAGTGCTGAAGTCCCAGACTCCGACTGCGTGCCTACCTAAAGGGTGCTGGTATTGCATTGTATACCACTAAGACAGACTTTTTCCAAATGTGTGTGCACGCCCTGTATTCATGGACATTGTTTAAGAAAAATAATCCATTGCAGTGACATCTTTTTGCAGAATTTGAATTCCCCCCAGATCTGCTGGGGTATTGGCTGTGTGCCTGTCCCCAGCATGTGGCCACTGCTCCAGCCAGGCTCCCAGTTCGTTTTAGAAACAAATTGGAAATCTTTTAAATTCGTTTCTGGTAAGCGCAGTTTGTGATCCTTAAAAGTTCAGATGCACTTAGCCGCAAAGAATGGATGGAGCTGGGAATAGAGATCCAATTCTGTATATGTATAAAGTACCTGAAAGGGGAATATTTTTATACTAGCATTTCACATTGGCAACCACCCGTTAGGATAAGGAAACCTCCTAAGCTTTAATGAATGGTATCAAACTGGGTTTTGCAGATGTTCGAACTCAACCACTCAGAAGCCACTGGGGAGCCATGGCAATGATTCCTAAATGATTACCAAGCCATAACCAAAGACTTCCAGGAAGATTTCAAGAGCCATATGTTTTCAACCTGCTTTTTGCTTTTGTTCAGTGCCCGGGCCCCATGCTTGGGACAGGTCACAGGACTGCCCTAACAACCCTGTTTCCAGCAAGGAAGTGAAAAGGGCGGTTAATTTTTTTTTTAAATCTCATGTGGGATCTTGGGATTGTTCCAATGTCCCCCCCCAGTCAACTTCCCATGAACACAAGTGCCTTATTTTTTATGTGAATTAAAGTATTCCATTCCCAAACGTTGTACTGCAATAAAAGCAGCAGGCAGATCATAGGAAAGTCTTGGCTGGGTTTTCTATTGTACAGCAGTTGCCAGGTCACTGAACAATTTGCTTAAATGTAGCTACAGAAGAGAAGCAACCCACCCTTTTACTAATTTAAAAAAACCACTCAGGTTAAGTATACTCTTGGGTGCTGGGAGCTGCACAGCCACCGGTCCTGAGCATGTCACGTCTCACCGTGACGGATTGCTCGCCAGAGCTTTGTCATTGTGTGGTATCTTATGTAGGCTCTTATGTAGTATCTGCAGGGAACTGAGGGGGAAACCAGTTACCTGGTTTAAATGCAGTGTTGGGGAAGCCACTGCTGGCCAATATCACAATTCCTGTTAGGCAGTTTTAGGATAAAACCAAAGAGAAGCACAGGGCAGCTGACATGTAACAGGAGATGTGTCAGCTGGGCAGGGACTAGTGAGGTCCTCCTTGGAAGACATACTTTGTACTTGGTTGAGCAGAGGAGGGCAAAAGGGGGACAGCAGGCAGGAGAGGCGTTTAATGTGTGTCTGGATTTGACAGGTGTTCAGAAATGCGCTGTGCCACGGAGGGGAAAATGTGTCCGTTGCCAAACTCACTGTGTAAGAAGCTGGGAAAACACAGTAATGCTGCTCCAAATAAAAACGACCAGGGCTTTCAGGGAAGATTCTTTGCTCTGGAGTTTTTATTTTTTAATGCTATGTGAAACATAGAGTGAAATGTAGAGGCTGCAAGACTGCACTATCGGACTGCAAAACTGGAAGAGGCTGCTGCTCTGCCTGTGCATAATGATTGTCAACATTCGCAAGTCATGGGAAAACCACACTCCCTTTCTCCTCCGTTCGTTTTCAGATAGCCATTTGTGGGCTCTTGCTTCTTAATACTCAGCTGCCAAGTGCTATTCTGAGGTTGGCTTTGTTCACCCCAGACTAACTTCACCGCAGCGCATCTAGAATAACCCAAGGTTCGCACTAAGAAATATTTATTATTTATTAAAAAAAAATTTAAAACATCTTAAAAAGATACAGTCACATCAAATGATCCATATTCACATTGCTTGGTTTTCAAAACGGGGCTGCTTTAAACAATAAATGTCGGCACGGAGCATCGTGCCATTTCCAAAGAGGTTAGTACTTATGTGCATATTTGAAAAGAGATACACGCATAAGTCAGTAGAACATTTAATCTTCACAATGTTGACTTTCAACAAGAAAATACCACTGGCCATTTCAGTGGGAGAGGCTCATGCCTTCTACACCTTCAGTTGATTGGTATGTAGAATTTAGCAAGCACTGTACAACTTGATTTTCCTGCTGCTTTTCAGCACGTAGACTTGAACAAGTGGCAAGGTTTTCTTTGTCAGAACATCCCTAGTCATAATTTCACGCCGGGAATTTTTTCTTTTGAAAATAAGTAGATGCAATGCTTTGAAATAACAAAGGAGTGTTAAAATGCAATTGAACCACAGTCATAAGCAAAACGTAAAAAATAAATAGTCTTTCACAGTTACAGAAATATAAGTAACCTAGACACTACATGCAAGTGGAACTTAGCATTTGCTTTCCTTCACTCTTCATGGTTGAACTCCTTCAAATTCCGTTTGAAAACATTACCAAATACAAATCGGTTGTCAAAAGGCAAAATACGGATGGGTCCTTGTACAGTTAAAAATATTTGGTCTCTGATTTTATTCTTTCATTTTTAAAAAAAAAGATATTTCACAGTATCAAAAGTGCTTGTTTTAAATTAGGCTTTCAAAAAGAAACTGAAGTGTAAGAAAAGTGATTCAAAACATTGCGTTTGCAATTTTGAATAATTTAGTTAATGCAAAACAGGGTTATCACAGTGTTTCTTAAAAACTGAACAGTGCTCATTTTACATCATTTTTTCTCTTCATTACAATAAATAAATAAATTTACAAATAATAATACTGCCTAGCACAAGAATCAAGAGAAGCACGATACACAGGATCTATTGTAACAAACCTAATCTATTTCTTTTTAAATCCTAGGGTAAAGGGCTAACTGCTACAATTTCTACCCAGTGATCAATTTAATAGTTTGGTCATACTATGTCCTTTGTGGGGTCAGGCTTTTTTACTAACCCAAGACATAACAGTTGTCCTGGATTTGGTTTCCGCATTTGCTTGTACACCGTGCTGCCTCAGACAAGACGTGCACTTTGTTCTGGGAAAGCAGAAGGAAGAACAAGGCTTTTCCAGAATCTACCTGCCACAGCACAGGGTCGCCGTGGCTGAACGCTGGCTACATGGAGTGGGGGCAGAATCCATGTTCAGCTAAAAGCTACTGCCAATTTGGCAATAGCTATAAAAGGGTTAAACTGTTAGTTGTGCAACTGTGGCTCTAAGGACTGGAGTCCACCTCTCCTCCATGCAGCCAGGAGCCCAGTCCAGAGCCACCCCACTAGCAGCCGTGTCCATGTCCACATGCCTCTATTCTGGCATGGATATTGTTTTCCCCATTTTGGAGGGCTAATTTTCAAGAGAAATGGTGTGTATTGTATATGAGTAAATACAGTAAAAACTTCGGCTCTGTATGTCCCTTCCCTCCCCACCCCATATCAATAAATTAAGACAGTTACATCAGCAAAGTGTTTAGGGTTGCAAGTGTCTCCAGCCATTGCATGTAATCTATGTTTGCTGGCTATGGTTATTTGGCAATTTGAGAAAAAGATACAACTATAAGGTAGGTTCTTAAAATCTAACTAGGAGCTGATTGAACAATATGTTGTAGGCATCTGGTGCCCAAACGGTGTTGACATCAGTGCTGAGGACTTGATTCTCATGAGTGGTTTTTCGGCTCTGTTTAAATGATTCTAGTGAAGGTTTTACCGACAGGTGCATTCCACGCTCCTTCTTGTCAGCTCCTCCATCTTCTGTCAAGTTGGTCGCCATGCTTTCTTGACCTTGGTGACATGAAAGGGGAGGTGATGTCTTCACCAGCGCAGCTGCTCTTGATCTATTTTGGCATCGCACCAAGTGTCCTGGTAAACCCCTGATATGTTGCAAGCCTTACAGTTTTTTAATCGTACCCTAAGGCTCCCCAAGGCAAGGGGTCTCCAAGTTGCTTAGGTCTGCTAAACAGCATGAGGCTTAAAGCAGAGCGATGGGTTTGTTGCCTTGGGTGTTCATGTACTGTGATGAGGACACGTTGTCCAGTGTGGTGTACGTAGTGTACAGACCTGTCACCTGTAAGTCTGAAAAGGAGCGGTCACTGCCACTGGACACCGGGGTGAGGCCAGCAGTGCCCAGGTCATAGTCGGACAGCTGAAGTGGGGAGTTGCTGAAGACGCCCATGGTGTCTAAGCTGAAGCTGTCATCTTTCATTTCTTCCCAGAGGTTACCTGCAGGAGGCAAAAGGCAGCAGTGTCAGCACATCGGCCAGTGACTGGTTTGAGTTCAGAGGGGAAAAACGGTCTTAAAAGGTAAGTAAAATGGAAAGCTTCAACAGTCATGAACAATATAAGCTTCCTGGTGTGAAGGCACTCAGACAACGTGGTGTATTCTGGGTTCAAAGGACCGGCCTATAGCTAATGTTCCTAACCTGCTTTAACATGGCCTCTTCACCCTCCCGTGGCTGTAGCTGTGACGCCATGCTTTCCTAAAGCACTGTGTGAGCATTAATCAGCTCATCTTCACAGTAGTCCCCTGAGGTGGAGAAATTCTCCTTTTTTCAGAGAACAAAAGGAGGCAAAAAGGTTGCTGGGATCAGAGTGAGGACTTGGGGGATCCCAGTCTACTCAGGCTCTTACCCTGTACCATGACCCTTTGGTCTGTGCTAGTGCCATGAAACCCAGTCCTCCCTCAGCCTCAACCCTCTCTGGACATTGCAGCACTGGGAAAGTACGCTGAAGAATGCATGGAAAAGAAAGTGCCCCCAAATGCAGTGCCACAGTGAAGATTGGGATCTCTGGTAAGAGCCCAGGCCTGGAATGGTTTGTGTCTAGGAGCCGGCTAAGTCCCAGTGAAGACCACTGAGTGCTCTAGGGGTCGTCTACCATCCAGCTCCCCCCTTACCTTGCAACGCAAAATCCATGATGCTTGGATCGAGCGCGTCCACTTCAGCATTCATGTCAGTGGTCACATTGAGGAAGTCGGCTGGTGCGCGGCTCATTGGGTGATGAGGGAGGGGGCTCCGGGTCATGTCGGGCAGAGCGTGGAGAGGTGGTGTCTGGGCAGGTGCTGGTGAGCCTGGGGCGATGCGGGCCTGGGTCTGGATTTGGTGATGCAGTGGAATGGATTGCAGGGACAGCGTCATGATGGGTGGTGGCTGCAGCTGTGAGAGGGAGATGCGGCTTTGGGCCACTGCCACGTGGCTTAGGGTGGAGGCCTCAGGTTCAGCCTGCTTGCTTGGCCGCCGGCAGCTCTCAGGTCTGTCGGTGATTAGCTTGTCTAGTTCCTCTGCATGGGAGATGAGCACCGCCAGCCCCCAAGAGACAAGAAAAGACTGAGCATATGCAATTGTTATTACACAAGCAGGGCCCAGGGACAGCCAGGGCTCTGCTAGGCATGCTCTGATTTCCAGCGCTAAATAGGG